GAAACTGTGCAGGTCAGCGGTGCTTGTTAGCTTGCTCTATCATCCGATGCTGAGCTTTTCTCAGATTGTCTATGACCTTAGCGACTTCCTGCTCGTGCTGCAACACAAACTTCCGTGTGTCGGGTGGTAGTCTCTGTATCTGGTCCCAATTTAGTCTCTCAAACGGTAGCCTAGGTCTAAAGGACTTATGTAGCTCATTAGGAGTCCTACAAGTTTCTAGATGGACACTATTATTGTAGGCGCTTGCTACTTTGGGAAGCATCTCATTCCAATTTACCTGATCTGGTCTAATATACATTTTGAGTAGCTGTTGCAAGATCTTATTCATCTGCTTTGTTTGGCCGTTAGTCTTTGGGTGTCGTCTTGACAACATCAACAGCTTAGTCCCATAGACTTTCATAAGATCCTGCCAATTCTGATTAGTAAACCGTGTGTCCCTATCACTAACTATGGACAACGGCATGCCATGCTCGCTTACCCAGAAGTCGAAAAACTTACTAATGACTAAGTCWATGCGTGCATTTGAAGGCAGGGGAACAAAGACTGCATACTTACTAAATCTATCTACTATGACCAAGTTTTGTCGTGCCTACTTCTGACCCCGGTATCCATGAAGTCGATGGAAACTAAATCTTCGGGTCCTGATGGAGTAGGCAAGGGTCTAAGAAGACCTAGAGAGGCTCTGGTCGTAGTCTTATTACGCTGACATATCTTGCAGTTGCGCACATGCTCCATGCAGTCTGCTTTCATACCTGGCCACATGTATGACATCATCAAGTTAGCTGAAGTCTTTTGCCATCCAAAATGCCCTTCTGTATCGTGGCATTCCCCTAAGATCAGGCTACAAATTTCTTCATTGTTGGGGACGCATAGTCTGTCAGCAACATTGGTCTTCTCAAACAGTAGCCCATTCGTGGTTCGGTAGTGCGGTTCGCTATCTAGGGCTTTCTTTACTCTTTTCAGTAGCTCACTGTAGATCTGCTCTTGTGCATAGGCATCTCTTACATTCTGCTGCAGATCGGCCCCTATGTCTAGATAGTGCACTATCGCGCCGAAATAATCAGCTCTCCTACTCGGAGCATCGGCTGCCACGTTGTACTTTCCTTTCACGGGCTTTAACTCAAAGTCATACTGATCTATCTCAGCAGCCCATCTAGTCAACTTGGGCGTCATTTGGCCTATGTCTTTAGCCATCTAAGAGTCTCGTGGTCTGAGTAAACCTTGAAGTGCCTCCCAGGTAGGTAGTGCTTCCAGTGGTCTAAAGCCTGCCTGAGAGCGTAGAGTTCCCTCTCATATGTCGATGTTGCGACTTTCTCTGAAGGCAGCCTGGCTGACATGAACTCTACGACCCTATAACCGTTGTCATCATCTTGTTGTAGGACAACACCTATGCCATACTGACTAGCGCCTGTAGTGACAACAAATGGTAATGACGGATCGACAACTTTGAGGACAAGGTACTCTATTGAAGCCTTTTCAATTTCTTGAAGGCTGACGTACAATCCTGGTCCCACTTCCAGATAGTCTCTTTCTTCAGCAACCTACGAAGGGGAGCAGCGATCGTGGAGAAGCTCCTCACGAACTTCCCAAGAATGAGCGCAACTTTGTCAGCGTCTTAGGAATTGGCGAAACGCTAATGGATGCAATCTTATTGTCCTCAGGACGAATGTCGTCGCCGTCTAGTACATGGCCTAGGTAAAGGACCTCTGTCTTGGTCCATTCGCACTTCTTCGGGTTAATCTTGAAGTTAGACTCTCTCGGCTTGCTTAGAATCTGCCATAGATGGCCCTCATGTTCCTCGAGGGTCTTGCTGAACACTAAGATGTCGTTTAAATAAACTACGATGAATCTATCTAACCAGGGTCTAAACAAGTCGTTCATGCGGCATTGAAAGGTAGTTGGTGCATTAGTAAGTCCAACAACATCACTATGAACTCGTAATGCCCATATCTTGTCCTGAACGTCGTCGTATACTGATCGTTAGGATGCACCTCTATCTGATGGTACCCCGATTTCAGGTCTATCTTTGAGAAGTACCTGCATTGATAATACATTGATAATACATTGATAATACATTGATAATACATTGATAATACATTGATAATACATTTTTTATAAGTCCTCATTGTCCAAGGATCGAACACATGACCTCCCTATCCGGAGGCAAACACTCAACCAAACGGTAAAGTGGACCGGGGTGAAAGTTAAGCCCCAAG